CAGACACGCGAAGACGAGCGAAGACGAGCGAAGACGGCGAAGGCGAGCGAAGGCGAGCGAAGACGAGCGAAGACGAGCGATTACGCGCGAAGACGCGCGAAGACGAGAGAAGACGAGCGGCGACGAGCGGCGTCGCTCGGCGTCGCTTGGCGTCGCTCGGCGTCGCTCGGCGCTCGGCGTCGCTCGGCGCTCGGCGTCGCTCGGCGCTCGGCGTCGCTCAGCGCTCGGCGCTTCGTGGCGCTCGACGGGCGTGTTTCAAGCGAAGACACGCGAAGACGAGCGACCTCTCGAAGCCGATCAAAGACACCCAAAAACACACCGCTTTAATCCGAGCACCTGTTTAATTGGGCCCCCCCCCCCCCCCCCCCCGCCGCAATAAGAAAGGCAAGGTTCCGCAATACTTGGACCATGGCCCTGTATTGATTTTCTATTAAAAACAATAGGCTGCAGATCCCCGAGGTGCTGTAGCTTCACAGCTCAGCGACAGATTTTGGAAACCCCCCGAAAAGATGTTTCTTTAAATGTGGTGGGTTTTCCCCATACGAAACCCCCCTAATGGAAAGTAGTCTTCCAGCGGGCTTCCGGACGAAAAAAATTCTTTAAATGTGGGGGTATTAATTAAACAGGTGCTCGGATTCCTTTGACTTCCTCGGCATATCTCGGGTGTCACTTATCTTCGCTCGGCGTCGTGTTGCGTCGCTCCGCGTCGCGCTGTGAGCTCTTCTGCTAGAATCGGCTTGCGATGGCTTGGGGATTTTATGAGCGACCACTTTATTACGTTGTAGGAGGTTTCTTGTGGTGGAGATAAAATCCACGTTCGTGCCTAAAACCTCGTAAAGCGATAGGCCCCCCCCAAAAGCGATACCCTCAATCTTGAATCTGGAAGTCGTTCTGCAACAAGTCATGATTTTGGTTGGGTCTGATTCCAGAGCGATACTCAAAGCGATACCCTACGATACCCATATGGCCACCCGAAGAGCTGGGTAAAAACCCTGGCCCACGTTGAGGGCTCGAAGTTTAGGATTTGGATTTCTGATTCGAGCAGCGAGAGCTCCAGCTCCTAGAAAAGAAGCACTCTCACTCGTTAGTCTATAGGTCCTAAAGAAAGGAAACGGGTTTAGGAATTCAGGTGTTTTGGGGAGGGTTCCAGGTTTAGGATTTCAGAAGCAATAAAGCGATAGGTTTGCGCAGTAGCATTGAGCCAAAGTCCCAGAAAGCGATAAGGCCCCCCCAAAAGCGATACCCCACGAAGTTTTAAATCAGTATTTACATGAGATTTTTTGCGGCTGCTCATATAGGTTTCGGGCCTTCAAAATCCATCCCACAGGACCGCTACTTCTTGCGGGGGGGGGCGGGGGGGTTGAGGGCTTCATTTTTATAGCAAAGCACCAATTATAAGTTACTCTGGGTCTAGAGGGTTAGCCCTATACACCCTAAGCCTTAACCCTAAACTCTACACTCTTCACCCTAAAGCCTACACCGTGCGAGTGGCCCGACTGAGTCACCTACACGCGGGCGTCAAAAGAACCCTAAACCCTAAAAGGTCCTGGCTTCACTCGGCGTCGCTCGTTCACTCGGCGCTCGCGTCGCTCTTCACTCGGCGCTCGGCGCTCGTCTCGCTCGCGCTCGGCGTCGCTCGGCGTGTCGCTCGGCCTCGCTCGGCGTCGCTCGGCCGTGTTCGGCGTCGCTCGGCGTCGCTCGGCGTCGCTCGGCGGGGCGTTTTTACGACCATACTGCCGCCACGCTCAATTTCGGTCCTGATCGGTAGACTCTTGTTGTCGTGATGAAAGTAACTTGTGCTCGGAGCAACCTAGGCGCTGGCGTAACGCCTAAACGCGGTTGGGGGCTCCTCCAGGCCCAGGGTGTCCTTAGCGCACTTGCAGGCTTCGCAGATCTTTGGAAAGTAGAGCTGTGCTGTGCATGGAACGGTTTGTTTATGAAGTGGAAGTTTGTTCTTTGTTTTGTGTTGTGTGTGTGTGTGTGTTTGCTGTTTTTTGGTCAAGGGCGGCCAGATGAGTGAGGGAGGTGGCCTGCGCCTGCAGCAACACATAAACGTGCGGTGTACTGGCTCGCGCACAAGTGACGCTGCCCTCTAAACATCTCTAAACCCTCTACAGCTTGAGAATCCCATGATCAAAGTCCAACCCATCCAATCCCCACCTAAGAAGCGCAGACTCGGCCGCCCCCCCCCCCCCCACCCCGCCGTTTGTCCGGCTTGTCCGCCCCCTGCCCCCCTTCATCCCCCTCCTTTATGTTTATACAGTGGCCCATTTCAGTCTTCGAATCCTGTCACAACTGAGAGCTTTAAGGATGTCCAGGAGTTTAACGGGGGGTCCTTTTTGGATGTTCCATATTCCCCATGGCCCCGGCGGCGCCTGCGAAGGGAGTACGAAGAACCCCGAAGCCGTAAGCTGCGTGCTGCTAGCCAGGAATGTAATGTTAGTGAGCTCTTGCAAGAGTGCCCATGGCTGCCTCAGGGTTCGGGGTTTGGATGTCGGCGCAAAGGGTAGTCGCCCAATCCACTCTGAGCTGACCCAGCTGTTCAAGTTTTAGCCTCGCCCCTTGGAAGGAGGGTGGAGGAAACATGGAGGGTGGGAGCAGGCAGGCTTGCGTCACATACATGGTAAAGCAAGAAAACATCCGCTCCCGGATGCTGGTGTGGCGTCAAGCAAAAAGTACAAACAAGTTTCGCGTGGGCCTGGGGAAGGGATCGGATGTTTAGATGTGGGGTACCTGCTTGATACTCCACAGACTCTTACGGCCTCGGAAGAAAAGGTGACGAGCATGTGCATCGCCGCTCAAGCATGAACTGGGCTCAGACAATCCGTCAGAGTTCAGCGGACGATTGATTTCGCTTGGGGGGGTTCCCCGATTGCTTCTTTCCCGAATCAGCTCTTTTAGTTTCCCGAATCAGGTTTTCCAGTTTCCGAATCAGGGTGTTTTCAGTTTCCGAATCCGCTGTTGACCCCCATGAATGGAAAAACCAAGACACTACCAACCTCTACGGTAAGACATGGTCGTCATTCCGTACCAGCCTTCATATCGTTCTCGCTTCACTTAAATGGAGTTTGCTCATCTCATGCCTCTGTGTGTGTGTGTGTGATCCCAACATGCTCATGCGCGCTGAGGGTTCATCTGAGTTTGAAAAGGAATGATTGTTGTGATCGAAGCTGAACAGAGCCGGTTCTAAACGTCTTGAGAAGGGCCCTCAACTTTGATGCAGGTAGATGGAACTGGTACCGTCGTCAGCATCAGCGGCTGCCAGGTGACATGTTCCCGATCCAAAGCGAACTGGGTCGTGGTTCTGAGTTGAGTCATTGGAGCTCTGGCTTGATCAACTTCCAGTGTGATCGATGGGCTCTTGGTGACACCACGGCTAGTAGCGTGTGCGGCACCCCCAGCGTGGTAAGAATCTGTATATGTTTGCAGCTACCTGCGCTGCAATCTCACAATGCAATAAAGGGTGCTCACATGTCTTGAGATTGAAGCCCGCAGCTTCAACAATCCTGAAGCGAGCCTAAGTCACTAGCGCCTAGCAAAACCCCTTTGTCGATGTGGGCCAGGTCAGGGTCCTCATCAAAGAAGGCGGGGCCACGTGAAATGCTTCAATTCTCTGTCCTGAGGCTTGTGCAGCTTCAAGGATTTCTGGTTGAGTTGAGAAATGATGTTCTCTTTTGACATCTGGTCTCACAAGGTGCATGGAGCGGCTTCATCAATGAGCTTGAGGCCTGAAACTTGCACATGAAGACTAGTGAACTGCACGAGGTGCTTGACATCGTCCGTAGCATGTGTAGCAGTGTAGACCATGTGTAGAACATGCATGGGCATGGCAGGGCAGCAGGTTGCGAGGCTCAGGTGCGGATTGGGCAACATCCTCAAAAGCCTTTCCAAAGCATCTTAAGGGCGTCTTAAGGGCATCTTGAAAGCCCCAATCTCTAGAACCCTTAGAACCCAAGAACCCACCTGTTAACCGATAACATTGGGCAGAGGCGATTGCATGGTGAACTGATGCAAGCATGTGGTCATATCAGCTGCCGTTTCCCCCCAGGAACCGTACAGCGCTGACTACCAAAAGTAAAGGTAGGGGTTTAGGGCTTAGAAAAGGTTAGGGTTTAGGGTCAGCCACAAATTGTGAACCCCTGAATCTCGGTTGGATGCGCAGGTTGTGGATGACAGCCGTGACCCCATTGAAGATGCGACGCAGAGGCTGAAGGCTTGGCGTTGCTTGGCGTTGCTTCTGCATCTGACCTTGGGGACGTCTTGGTTGGACACTTTCGACGTCTCAAACAAGCAGCATGCAACACAATGAAACACTGCGCTCGCCCAAGGTTTTTTGGACCAACACCATCAGGATTCAACAGACGTAAAGAGTTTCGGAGTGAAATCACTGAAGCTCGGGCACAGAAACGGAGATCTCAGGATGGCACAACAAAGTGCTACGGACAAGCACAACCTAAAGAAGTAAAGAAAGAGACGAATGAACAACCATACGCCGCAAAAGATAGATGGGGAAGAACGAATGAAGAGCGAAGCACACAAGCAATACCGAACCTCTTTTTGTCTTGGTTTTGTTTTTGAGTGTGTGTTTTCCGACCCCTGGGCCCACAGAGCAGCATGTAGAACAAATCTGCCGTGCAGGTAGATCCTGGAGAGCTTGTAGAGTCGACACACCCCACGTGCTGCGAGTACCAAAATGCAACATGACCCAGCAGGGAGTCAATCACCGAACTGCGCAGTCTCAGAAGCTGCAACTTCCTACCAGCGAATATCGGCAAGGATGGCAAGGCCGGTGAAGACGTGCTGGCCCAGCAGCAGCCCTGGCAATGGGTAACCCGCAATGAGTCTTCGGTCCTTATGCATAAGATACTAGGGCACTGCAGGAGAGGAGGGGGAGCTGCTTCAGGTACCATTGCCACGGCTGTGAAGGTGTTTCCAGCTCAAAAGCTCGAACAACCCTTTCTATTTTCGAAGTCTCTGCCCAGACTCCTCTCCCTGTTACCATGGAGCGCAAGGCCTTCTGCAAGCCAGCCAATGACTTCGATGTCATGGGCCCCTTGTCAGACTCGGACGGCGACAATGAGATCCTGGCTCCCCGGCACCAGAAGGTCCTGGCTGCCGCTGCACGGCGGCGCCAGGGGATGGGCTCCTTCTCCAGCTCCTTCTCCATCAGGGAGAAGCCGCAGCCTGCGCCAGCCAAGCCTGCAAGAAACCCCGACCGCCAGCTCTGGGCCGACATCACCACTGATGATGAGGACAGCTTTCCGACTTGGTCTCCGACCCCAAAGATCACATCCAAGGCAGTGGACACCAAGGTAGAGAGCTCGGGGAACACACGTGGCTATGACAAGTGGTCTTGGAGCACTACTGCCACGAATATGGATGATCTGGAGGACGAGCTCCCTGAGGACGTATCCCCGACGGCCGCATCTCAGACCACTGAGCATTCCAGCTTCTCTTCAACCGGCAGTGACGTCACAGAGGGACTTCAGCTTCTGCCGCCAAACCCAGAACCGCAAGTCACGCCGAAGGGCATGGGTGTGTCAGTGCAGGTCATGAGCGTGCAGCCTCACATGCAGCCTCAGGTTCAGCCTCACATGCAGCCTCAGGTTCAGCCTCAGGTTCAGCCTCAGGTTCAGCCTCAGGTTCAGCCTCAGGTTCAGCCTCAGGTTCAGCAGGGCATGATGGTGGCAGTGCCTGCCATGCAGTATGTGCCTTTCGGAATGGGGATGCTACCATTTGCCAGGGCAGCCATGCCACACTTCCCGCTGATGACCGCTCCACCCATGCTGGGGACTATGCCTCGGGAGGACAAAGAGGACGAGAACCTCCGTCGCCCGGTCCAGCTGTCTGGCGCGCTGATGGCCGGACCTCCCTTCGGCAAGTTGCACCGCTTCCACCAGAAGAACACCAGCATGGGAGTCCTTGATAGCGATGCCCGCACCTTCACCAAGAAACAGAACAAGGGCCGGCTCAGCATCGTTTGCGAGAACAAGGTCCACTTTCAAGGCACTGTGCGCTATGCCGTCCAGTTCACAGAAGGTGAGCTCTGCAGCGCAGATGGCGTCGGCTTCATCCTCTCCTCTGACCTTCCCTGCACCAAGAACATCCAGAAGATCGTGTCAGTTTTTGCCAACCGTACAGGCCGGATTTGCATCCGTGTCCACGATGAGGTAGAGCGATGCCCACAGCGGGTGAAGTGCTTGGAGATTGGTGATTGGCTGGAGGTCAACGCTGACCTCGCGCAGCAGACCGTGAGCTTCACTGTCTGGCCACAGGACAACTCGGAGCCCTCTTATGCCACGGTCTCCTTCAAGGACATCCTGGTGAATGTTCCATGAACTTGTACTGCTTGGGAGCTGAGATTCACCATGTCCTGGTACTTTGACCTGGAATCGTTTTGTTGTGCGTCAAGCCAGCAGCTAGCTTCTAATTATTCGTGAGCGTTTTCGCAGATTTCAGCCACAGCCCTGAGAGGACATCCTGAACAAGGCACGTGGGCGCGGCGTGCACGGCCTCCCTCGCAATCCCTGTGGTTACTTGGCTGCCGTCATCAAGCACGTGGGCGTGTCGGTGACTTTCGGCTCCTGAGGGCACGCACAAAGCCTGTAATTTTCAGTTTGTACAGTCGCAGCCCCAGAGTGCGTTCAGCTTGGACTTGAGCCTGCACACGTCCCAGTCATAGCTGAGTGCTAGACTGGGCTTTAGTAGTATAGGAATGCTCCTGCAACCATTATTCTCCTGTCGATTAGCGGCCTGGTGCGAGTCTACAAGCACAGGATGAAACTTACCATGCCTTTGCATCCATGAGTATCCACAGGTGAGACCTCTACATTTTGAAAGAAGTCGCGCCATGTCATGCCGATGCATATGGATGTGTCGAATCTTCCGAGACGAAGACGTCGCTTGATTTTCTGAAAGCTTCCAGCAGTCGCTCAATTGCTGCCATCTGCAAACTATGCAAACTGCACTGTGGCAAGTACCTGACACCATGTCAGCATGGTTTTGTGCTACAGACTTGGCAGCGGAAGCAAGCCCACAAAGGCAAGGCAAGATGGGACGCATGTCATGCAATTGGGTAGTTGTAGTTCTGTTTGCTACGGGTGTTTGTTAAGGTGTTTGCTTTTGTGTGCTCTTTGTGTGTCTGTTGGGAGCTGAGATCCTGCTGGGATCTCCGGATGGCAACAGGGGCTGTCGTACAGCCAGTCTTAGGTAGCAACGTACTCGGCTCACTATACAGCGCCTGGGTGCTAGCGAGACACCTGCTTGCTGTCCATACCCTACCTCCTCTGCTAGATGGAAAAGTCACGATGGGTTCATGGCTTTTGCAACAACAGCCTTGCTCTTTCTGTTCGAGTTGCGCTGGCTCTAGCAGTGCTGTCGGTTCGAACCAGCATGGATGTTGTCCCAGGCTACATGCCATCCTCCAGCAGGTGATGAACTGTCAGCGGCTCAACCGTGCAGGTGAGGTGCCACGCTGCCATGCTGTCACACCACCACTAAAGCCTCTTTCAAGGATGTCGAGACAGGACCTGCGAAAGCATCCCTCGCGTCCCGTAGTAGTCGCCGCATCCCCCGCGTCCCCCATAGTTCCTGCATCCCCCGCGCCCCCACGTCCCCCGTGCCCCCGCGTCCCCCCGCGTCCCCTGTGTCTCCAGCGTCCCCCACGTCCCCCACGTCCCTCGCGTCCCCCACGTCGTCCCTCGCGTCCCCCCGCATCCCCCCGTATCCCCCCGCATCCCTCGGCGTCCCTTCGCGTCCCTCCCCTGTGTGCCCCCGCCTCCCCTGCCTCCCCCGCCTCCCCCGCGTTGTTTTTTGCTCCCCAAACGCATTGACCAGAGGCTCAGAGCCTTCGGAGCTGCAAATCCTCCTCACCAGCAGAGAGCGGGCCCAAGCTTTCACAACAGTATTTCCGAAGAATGCATTCAGGATTTAGGGGACATTGTCAAAGGCTTCGAGAAGGCATTCAAGGCATTTTTTTCATGTTTCTTAGTGGTTGTTTAGTTGTGCTTTTTCTTTTTAGGTTCTCGTTTAGTGCTTCATGCGGAAGGCGCGATATCGGACCGTGTCTTGACGGAAGGGGCTACAAAGACTGAACGGTCACCGGAGGAGAGTCGGATGCTTTGACGGGAGGGACGGAATGACTGCGGAGGAGAGGGGAGGGACAGAGGCGTGGGGAGCCCAGACAGAATGTTGACGGGGGATGGTGGAGTGTGGACGAGTGGGTGGAGTGTCAGCCGGTTGACGGGGAGGGTTGGGGGGGACAAGGGGGCGGCGCGATATCGGGTTGATCGAGGGAAGTGGGAGGGATTGGACGCGGGGGCACGCGATATCCGGTTGACAGGAGGGCCTGGACAAAGAAGAGCGCGATATCGGGTTGACGGGTTTACAGGTGGGCAAGTAGGGGAGGCTGCGCGATAGCCGGTTGACGGGAAGGGTGGACAAAACCGGTGGAGTCAACGAGGGCGTGGGGGAGGTGTGGACAAGAGCGCATGGGTGGACATGGCTGGACAAGGGCTGAGCGCGACCAGTTGACGGGGACGGCGGGGGGGGAGGTGTGGGCAAGGGAAGTAGCGATGAGGAGGCCCGGTGGGGGTGCACGGACGGGGGGGAGAATGGGGGGAGGCGTGGATAAAGGGGTGGAGCGCAATATCTCGGGTTGACAGGCAGCCACTGCGGCAGGACCATGACCAGGTTCAGGGCTTCAGGGTCGCCAGCTCTGGGAGCTGTGCCCGGCATCTCTGCGTTCGGTTGGGTTTTTGGGTTCCCTGCTTTGACTGTGTTTTTTGAGCTTACGATGTTTACGCAGAGTTGTAGAGTTGCTGTTTCCGCTGAGCAGAAGCGTTTGGTCTTCAGAAGAAAACGGGTTTGGATCGTGGCGCTGGTGGTGCATCTCCGGTTTTCCGGTCCACGCTGTTTCGGGTCTTCGGCGGTGCTACTTGTTCAGTCTCTGGGAGAATAGGGTTTTACGTTTGTTTTTATGGCAGCTCATGCAAGCCCCTTTCGAACCACGAAGAGCAGTGAAAGGAGTTGAAGATCCATGCTGTCAGAGAATGCCAAAAATGTCCGCGGCTGGCCTCTTGAGAGCGGCCCCCGTTGCCGTGCACCATCGTGTACCTTCACTCCTGAAACCGGTCATCTTGGTTTTTGTCTGTCCAGAGCCCCAAGCAATAAACGCCAGATTTTATTTTGCTCTGGGTCTGAGCATCTATGTGCCGTTGGCCATTACTATGACAGCGGAGAGTTTGACTAGAATGCAGATGTCATTTTAAGTAAGCCCTGGAATCTGGAGCTTCAAATCTTTCAAGGAGTGTGGGCAGTTCATCAACAGCTTCGGCGCCTTTGCCATGCTCCGGGCCGTTGGCCTTGTCTGTAGCCGCCCTTGGGACTGCAGACGTAGAAACAGTGATGACTGTAAGCTAAGAGCAGAGTTCTAATTCTGCATACCTTGGCCCAGTACTTGAACTCACCCAAAGCACGCCAACTTCGCTAGGCCATGCGGCAGACCGAACTGTCCATGTCTTTGGTGCTGGGGTTGCCTCCCGGCAGAAGGGGACAGGGCAAGATGAGTGGGTCGCGTACTGTATTGTGCTGTGGAGCCATTGGAGTATATTGGAGTCCAAGAGTCTCGTCTAAGAAGCGGGCCAGACGCAACCTCTTAGGATCCGGGTCCTAGACCTCAGGAGTTGGTAGATTTCATTTGAGATGTCCGCGGCCAATAACGGGGGCCAAACCCATCCAAACCCTTGCCTTGGGACTTTGAGGGAGTCACGCCGTCAACACCGGTGGTCATGCGGGCGCGGGATCATGCACACTAATTTAAACAGAAGCTGAGAATTTACAAAGCGTCTCCAAATTCTTATGCCACCATGCATCATGCTGTGAAATCAGAAAAAGCCGGAGGCCACCGACCTGGCAGAGCGCGCAGCGAGCGCGCTGAAGTGTCTGGACCTTCTGCGCAGATTTTCACACTGTTTTCATCTTATGCTTTCATATTATTGGTTTCATGTATTTGGTCTCGCCAGTAAGGACAGATATGTAAAGAGGGTTCCAGACGACACGACACGCAAAGATCAACGTTTTGTTGTCTGTTTGTCGACTCATCGATCAGGTGTCTCGAGCAGCACTTTGAGACGCTGCTTGCACAGCAGAAGCCATTGTCAGTGTTTGAGGGGTGTTAAGGACTCATTTTCCTGCCTGTTCGAGGGTTAAGCGACGGAGTGCCAGAGCTCTATAAGGCCCATAGTGGGCCTATGCATAAATCATCCTGTGCATGTGTATGGAGTTGACCAAGCTTTGAGCCCAAAAGCCAAAAACTTTCTGCATCTCTTCACTAAGGCTTCCGGCACCCAAGGCAGCGGGGGCTTTCGTCTTGACGATCGGAAGCCTTGATTTGATCGCCAGCCTGAAATCATCCAAGCCTGTTATGAAAAAATGTCCACATGTTTATTGTTGATCGCCCGTCCACTTGGCCTCTTAGTAGCAAGGGGTTATCTCCTGGTAGGTTGAGTGTGAACATTGAGGGCCAAGAGCAGCTTGTCTTTGTCTACCGTTGTTACCAAAGCTGACTGGCTTTCCATTCTGTTTGCCGGAGGTCCCACAGGAGAAGGCAAGATACCGTGCACCATGGCGAAAAGCTCTCGTTGCAGTTCGAGGAAGAATCGCCTGAGCTCAAGCACAGGAATTGCGATTTCAGAAGTGTCCGTCATTCATTTGTTGGATGGTTGTAGTTGACTTGCCTGTTGGTGGCCTTCAACCTCCAGGTAGTGCTACACGTGGATCCAGACATCTTCGCTGCCGGCGTGCCGGTTCCTTGCAGAATGCAGAGCTTGGGCAGATGGGACCCTCTTTGGATGTGTTGATGAACCCATACAAACGTCAGGTAGCGAGGCTGATGACAAAATGGAGTGGTGCTGATCCCTAAATCCCTTACCCACAAAGCCAATTTCGGAGTTTCAAGCTGCTCTTGTCTGAGGTGCAGATGGTCTACCAGGACCCGGATTCAGGGTTCCGCATTGTAGCAGTTGAAGTTGTTGGGTTGAGCCGAGACTTTCTTTTATGCGCATTTGTACTGAGCCACTCGTTCCGCGGCTCCTCGTACTTCTTTGAGGGCTTCACCTAGGTCGCTGCAGAATCCCCAAGGGGCCCCAAGCTGAGCCCAACGCACTCTAAAGCGCTGCTTCGCTGCTGGTTTGTCGCCAGCATCCGAGAACGGAGCAAGAAATCCTCGTGCCCAAGCCTTCACGAGGAGCAGCTGCGAACGCTTATCATTCCAGCTCCTTTCCGGTTTTATGATCGAGATGGATGAAGGGTTGAGGGTGGAGGAGGGTGGAGGAGGGTGGAGGAGGGCGCAGTGGGGTTACTAAGGCTACAGTTGCAGCTTAGAACGGTCAAACTCGTGGAGGTAGGCATATATGTCTGCCTGGCATCTACACATTTGCAGTAACAAACGCTTGCTGGCGGGCTCAAGCAATGACCGCCGTTGCCAGTGCGTACTCGCATTGAGTCATTTGTGTCATTGAGTCATTGTGTCAGGTTCAAGGCCCCAAAGACTTTTCTCTCCAAAGAGCCAAACCCCACCACTGGGGCAAACCTGCGACATCTCAGGCCATCGCGCCTCCTGGGGAGGGCTGGTCCTGGCCACAGAGAGGCTCCTGTCTCTCCTCTCCCGAAGAACTGCGGAGCAACAGAGGAGAGGAAACAGTGTCCTGAGCAGTGCCCTGAGCAGGGTGGTCTGGCGAAGATGGCATGGTGCAGCACCTGCAGGTGTCCTTGCCCACAGGCCAGGTGCCATAGTAATCAATAGCATCGCTCACGGTTTCTCTCTTCGCAGATTCAATCTTCCGTGCCCGAAGCCCATGCTAGACTTTAGTCTTCGAAAGCTTAAAGTTCGAATCTAGAAGCCGCCAACAAACTTTTGGACGCAATACCTGTGATGGCTGAGGCAAGGCTGACCTTTGTCGTGAACAGGAGTTCGAGGAGGCTACAAAGGTTGCAAAAAGGCCCGAGGGTTGCTTGGTCTCTGTTTGTCTGTAGGGTTGTGAAAGCCATGGCACATCCAATCCACATGACATGAAGTCAGCCTTTGAAGTGCCGGAAGCTGTGTAGAGGCTGGAAGTGTCTGGGCTGAATGCCTCGGTGGAAGAAGGCCCCTGCTTCATTCCCTGAGAGGTGACTGCTCGCATGCTAGACGCATGCTAGACCATGTCAGCACCAGCTTCCAAAACATCTTGGATCGGCACCAAGAGCCAGAATCGCTGCAGACCTCGAGCCTTAAATCGCAAGCTGCAAGCTGGGATCTTGACTCTTGGAAGGTTCCAGCGACCCTCTCAAAGACGCCACCATGGAGGCGAGCATTCCGGTTTTTGTGTTTTGGGTTTTTCAGCCCGTGTCTTTGTGTCTTTGTGTGCACTTAGCCGAAGGTGCCATGCAACTGGACCGGCAGCTTTGCTCGAGGGAGCCGCGTACGGTTCCGAGACGCTGCAAGGCACGGTGACCATGCATGAACACGCCTGTCAGAGCTGCATGCTGTAAACTGTATCCCTGTCAGAAGCCTTCACATCATTCGGTTCTGGAACGATTGAAGATTTTGCTTTGATTGCTCCACGAAGGAAGCACCTTCCTGCATGCGTCTTTTTGCTCCGGAGACCTGAATATTCCCGAGACTCCCAAACTGTGCCCTGAAGGTCAGTCTTGCCAAATAGCATCGACGTCTCTTCCATAGGTGGGAGCGTTGTCGAAACGGGTTCGGGTTAAAGGCAGCACAGCATGTTGAGGGGTGAAAACAGTGAAGTTTCATCTCTTTGGTGTATGCAATTGATGCGATTTGCAATGGCCGCAGTTGCATCCCACAAGGCATGATCTGCGAGCAAGTCTTCAATGTCAAGGAGGATGGGTCCCGCGAGCTGCAGTCCTTCGGCTGAGATGGGGGCGCGAGAACGACCGAAAATGTACAACTATCAAAAAACAAAACTCTGTTTTAACTATCAGAAAACAGCAGGTGGACCAGCAAGGAAGTGCATCTTGCTGGTCCTTCCGATACTGCCCACATCTTTGGAAATCAAGAACCCTTGACACCCAGCACGCGCGCACGCATGCGGGCACAGAAACAGCTGTCCTCGCAATGCACCGACGTTGTGCTTTGAAAAGCCTTTGGGGGAGGTATTTCGTGGTCCTTCCAAAGAGCCTGGCAGTGCCGCCAATTCCGGGAGACCTGTTGGAAGCAGCTCCTGCAGCTGAGCGGATTCAACCAGGCCTGTTGATCCCTTAGGTTTCAGGATTTGCAGACATTAGTGACTTTAGTGACGGTGGGTGCTCTTCATGCTGTGTGAAGGCTGTAAATGTGGCCCACGTGCATTTGCAAAAAGCCATCAGGGCAACCTTAACTTTCGAAGTTTTGCATCCGGCAGGTGTGCGGGTCCGAGTGAATCCACCATCCGGAAAGGAGACTTCTGCAGAATGTGTGCCAGATGCGGCAAGTTTGCACCCTGACAGTGTGACAACGTGTAACGCGTGATGCTTTGGTGAGGGCGCAGCGGCGCAGCATGTCTGTGCCACGAGGACCCTGCTTATGGTTGGGGACGCATTGCAAGCAGCGATGTAGGCAGGGTAATGACGGCTTGTGCATTGTTCATTGCTTGTGCATTGCTTGTGCATTGCTGGCTGGCTGGCTGGCTGGCTGAGCTTGTGCATTGCTTGTGCATTGCTTGCGCATTGCTTGCGCATTTCTTGCGCATTGTTGTGCATTGCTTGTGCATTGCTTGTGCATTGCTTGTGCGCTGTGCAACTCTCAGGGTTTGTCCGGAGAAGTGCAGAGACACAAGCTCTCAGCTTTGACAGAGACAGGCATTGTTCAGCAAGTTCATTTGGATGGGAAGGTGGACGTGCCCCTTGGAGAATGGACATCTTGCACAATGCACAAATCAACACAAGGTACGTAACACATCCTTCCCGGGATCCAGTTGCTTATATAAATTGAGGAGCAAGCAGATCGCTCCCATTGACTTCTGAGCATGCTTTTGAGAATAAAATACGACTTGTTCACATGCCCTATTCCAATCCATTCCTCTTTGCTGTTTTCATTTTCGTGTTCCAGCACCGTCGATGTGGGGTTGTTTGATTTTAAGTCAACATGCTCCTCGCCTCCTTGCCCTGCCTGTGTCCCGCCACCCAGAGAAGCCAGCACAGAGTCCTGCTGAGTATCCCTGGAGTGCCCAGCCCCAGAGAAGCCCGCCGAGTATCGAGTGAGAAGCGTGCAAAGAGTCTCGGCGAGCATCCCTGGAGTGCTGTTCTTCAGAGAAGTTAAACAGAGATTCCCGCCAAGTATCTCTGGAGCCCACCCGAGTGTCCCCGTCCCGCAGAAAGTGTCGCCGAGAGTCCTTTGGAGTCCCCACCCCAGAGAAGCCCGCGAGGCGCCCACCCACAGAGAAGGCCGCAGAGTCTGCGAATATCCTTGCAGTGCCCCTGCAAGAGTCCCGCCGAGTATCCTTGGAGAGAATGGCGTGACAAGAGCCTGTGGCCAAGTGTCCGTAATTCCCTGCCTGAAAACATCAGGTAGCCTTGGGGGGTGCCTCCGTTGTATATTAATTACTGCATTATGAGGGTAGGCGAGCAAAAGCAGAGCGTACAAGATCATTAAACGGCCAGTATTGCAATGTTGGGCATCTCTGTGTACAGTTGCAATCGACCAGCGGACCCTGCACCTCGGTACACCACAGTACACCTTGCTACGCCTCGGTACGCCTACACCTCGTAATGCCCAAAGTGAGTCTGCGGCAAATGGCAAACCTTGGAAAACCTTGGACTTTTTGTCAGCGCTCGTGAGCCTGCGATCCTAGGTTTTTCATGTCCGAAGAGAAGCTCTGGCATGCGGCGCTCCAGGATCTTGATACAGTGCCTTGGGTGTTTGTGGCAGGCCTGTTTACTTGTCATTGGGTGTTTCAGCGATTCTGGTGAAAGACGGTATTCAGATGAAATTCCGCCATGTATTCCCAAACCTCATGCGTTGCAAATCTACCCAAAGCTCCATTCCCCTCGACCCCAAGCACCGCGTATTTAACATACTGCACTCACAGAACCTCGTAAGCCTCGTACCAAAGCCCCACGCATTCAGACCCACTGCTATAAGCTCATCAACATCTTTGCAGAAGTTCCAGAACAAAACAAAACCCCCCCCATCCTCAAGCACGTGCCAATGTGGGAACGAAAGCAGAGGGGGGGCCTCTCTTACCTCACGGCTGAAGAGTTTAAACAGAGTGAAGTGACGAACTTGCAGCATGCATTCAATTTGGGCCTTCGAACTACTTAGAGCTGCTCGTTATCCAAGGAGAACCTGCCCATGACGCTTCGGCCGAACTGCCCGGTTTGCCAGCGGCCCTTTCCTTCAGGACTGTACGCTTCATGCCGAGCAGACCTTGTCTGGAGCTTGGCGGCGATTTGCTGAAAACCTCACATGCGCACAGTCCTTGGGAGGGCAGCAGCTGAACTTGGACATTGCCATGGACGCGCAGATCAGGAGGAGCGTGTCAACGCAGTGTCTTGATCTTGAGCATGACTGAGTAGACCCATGTAGACTCCAAAATCGCACTTCGGCAAGACCATGTATCAGTGTAGGATGGCTTCAAGGCTTGGTCATTCCAGCATTTTCGCAGCTTCCAAATGACGACCAGAAGCACGACTCGAGCCTGGCACCTCACAAAAAGAATCGAAAGGAAAAGAAGGCGCTGGGTCCTGCTGGATCCATGTCCATTCCATGGCCAGCCCGCCAGGATGAAGAAGCTCATGGCTGGGGCTCGGCACGAGCGGAATGGCCTGGACCGAGAAGGCACCAGAATAGAGCACATTGGAGAAGGGCAGGGTTCCCTCCTGTCTCTAAGGGTTATGGTCCCTTGCCTTCTTTAAAGGGTTCTGAAGTATGGGCCCTTGGTTTTAATATGAAGGGACCGTGTAACTGATCATGTCGCGATGGGTCGTTAGAAGTCCGGATATGTGCGCGGATCTCGCATCGCACCAATGTGACTGGCTTATCGGCCGGACAGTACCAGCTATTGATGTTGCAGCCATGTGCAGCCTTTGCCATGTGCAGCCCTTTGTAGCTTCCCCAGACTCCGACACAAAGACGGCTGTGTATCCGGTGCCGCAAAGGTGGGGTGCCCAGGCTTCTGAGATCGCAGACTCACAGGGAGGAGCGCTTTTGTTTTTGCTGGCTGGTTCAGCTCATGCAGGTCAGCTAGGCAAAGGGAGCCATTTAACAAGGGAGACTCAGCTCGCAGATCTCCAGGACCTGGGTTTCATTTGCACAAGGAGCTTAAGCACAGATGCCCTAAACGGCACTCAACGGCAACGCAAACCTGCCAGAACTGAAACAACAGCCTTCTGCGCTGCAGCCATATGCAGACCTCACAAGCAGGAGCTCAAGTGCAACATCTGCTTCGACCTCGTCGTGTCACCAGTGACGCTGCCCTGCGGTCGGGCGCTGAGCTTCAAGGACGCATGCAGGGTCGCGAGTGTTTCGAGATGTTTCAAGAGTGTCTCAGAGAAACTCAGAGAGATTGGGCGGCCTGGCTCCCGAAGTGGTTCAAGGAGCTCCGTTGTTGTGAAAGAGCGCTTCTGGAGATGTTCGCTCGCATGGCAACGAGCTAGTAGGTATGAGGCAACGCTGCAGTAATGTGCTGGTAAGACAAACGTACACGTACAGGAGATTTGATGGTGCTGCAGTCCTATCAAGAGCCAAAAGCCGTGCAGCTCTGGATCAGGTCACAGCTACTGCAAGCACCACATCCAAGTGTGGCTGTTGGAGAATGACAGCTGTCCTGTCTGCCGTGTGCGAATCCTCCACTACAAGGATTGCCTCCGAGGAACTCTTTGGCTATTTCAGCACTGGTTGGTGGTATATGTACTTGTGTCTTACGTTTTGCTTGTCTTTACGCATCGGTTGGCCTTTGCTTGGTGTATGGCATCCGGCTACGATGTCTGCCACGGAGCTGAGAGATTTCTGCACTTTCTCCTCTCAAAAGGCTGATTGATGCTGAGGGACCTCTTGCCCTTGCGGGGCAGCCCATGCCCTTGCTGTGGTAGCCCTTGCCCTTGCGGGGTAGCCCTTGCGTTTAGGGAGTTTGTTTAGCCTTGGCTCTGTCTCGCCTCATTGGTCTGCTGTGCATTTCGTGCTTTTGTTTGTTTTTCCCTCCCGCCGTTCTCCATGACAACTTCCCCAGCCCCTCAGCGTGTCCACAAAATTTTCTGTGACTGGTGTAAGACTAGTCGTGACTAGTCCCCGTATGCAGACTTGCAGTTAAGTGTACTTGCTGCTTCGTAAATGCCAGGATCGCGAGCAGAAGCCGAGGCCATGAAAGGGGCGATTTGGAGAACGTCGCAGTAGATCGAGGATTACATGATCCATGCTATGTTGTAGCACATTTTCCTTTTTACTTTTGTTGTGAGCTGTGATTTCTGTCTTCTCTGAATCTTTTCTTTATGGGGAGGAAAAGATTGCCGGAACTAAGAATTCATGTCCTTCATCCTCTACTATAATTTTTCTTTTTCATCTACATGTAATGTTTATTGGTATTCTTCTTGCGCTTTCTCAATGCATCTCTTAGGATTTTATGTTATGCCAAGAGAAATCCCATCCTTTCCAGATGTTTACAATTCCTTCAATTGCCTGTCATCTATTGGATCAGGAATAACTTTCCTCTTTGCTGGTTTCTTTCAAGGGGCTTTGATGCATGGTACTTTTATTGCCCCGTTGGGACCCCTGGCTTTTTATCATTAATTTGAACGCTACGCGACCCGCCTCGGCCTGGCCCAATGCAGCTCCGGAGAGGAGGGACGTGGGGGGGTTTGGGGAGGCGGGGCCTGCTCTGCTCCCACTTTTGCCTACGAAACATACCCAAAACCTACCCGTGTCTAAATTAATGGGAGCAAACCCGAAAGGGGTGGGCTGACTGCCTGCCAGACAAAGGGTGCAGTTCTGTTTTGCGCTGAACGCGATTGGGGGGCGGGTGGGGTGGGGGTGTCAGACCCTACAGCATGAGCCCAACCTCCCCTGGTCCCGGCAAACCGTCCGCTCCCAGATCCCGGTCGCCTACGGGGGGTACCCATTCCAGGAAAAAAAGGGGCCAGCGTGTGGCTTTGGGCTTGGGGGGAGGATTTGGAGGGGGTGCCTGTTCTCACAACCTAGACACCTTCGACCCAAGGCCTCGGCGGATTGACGGCTCCATTATTTTCAAGGGCTTGCATGGACCCCATGACAACCAGCTTCGACGGTATTTGAAGGTGAGCAATGACTTAGCAACAGAAGCAAAAGCCGCACAACCCCTTTCTCACATTTTTGCGAGGAGTGCTGTTATGAACTGCTCTTTGGGCCTGAAGTTTCTGATTCCCTGAGCTGACACTCTAAGGCTAGTAGCTTCCAGCTGGGCATTTTTGGCGTGTTTGTGGTGAGTCAAGCGAGAGAGAGAGAGACATGTACATATATAAATATAAATATATATATAAATGTATACAAATATACATATATATACATATAAATATATGGGTAGATGCATCGTGCTTGTGTGTGTGTGTGTGTGTGTGTGTTTGTGCGCGGACTGGGGTGTTGGTGCTTGGAGTTGACACTGAATTTGCAATGGCCCGCGAGGCAGCTCCGGACAGCGGCGCCCCTCTTTCAGACCTCCTTAAGGGAGACCCGGCTGGGTCTGTAAGTAGGCAAACTTAGGGTAAGGGCTGACGGTAGCCGCTGCACATGGTGTGTCGAACTGGAGCGCATGCCACCCCACAGGCTGCCGCAGGTGGCAAGGAGTAAAGATCCCAAATTTGCACGCGGGATTTCATCACAAGATCGGCGTGCATGGCGTGCTTTTGGTTGCATCGGTTGCGATGCTTCACGAAAGGCTCAAGCCCCAAACCTGGAACCCTGTGCTGACATCCTCAGGATGAAGACGGCAAAGGAGGGCAGCAATCTGGAGAGGGATTCGAGCTTCACGTCAACAAGATGCCCCTCAGATGTGGAAAGGACGAGAGGATGTTTTTGGATAGTTTTTTAGTGTTGGATTCAATTCGAAGTCGTTGGAGAGTTTGAAGTTTGGAGTGCCGGCTTCGCCTCCCGGAGGGGTGACCAGGCAACTGATGCTATGTCCTTGCAATTGCCGCATTTCAAGCTGAGGTCATCGGTCATAGCAAAACCCTGCATGTCCCGTGTCACTTGAGGTTGGAGACCCAAGTAATCCGTTTCTTCCAAGACGAGGCCGTGTTTTCAGAGTGGTTCATGTCTTTATCCCGTTTATTCTCCCTTTTCTACCCCTCCCCTCTGCTTCTTCTCCTTGTCTCTGAACCGGCATCCCGAACCTGATGCATGTGCCGTCTTGGAGCACATTGGACGGAGCACTTTTCAGCACGCCTGATTGGTGGTACTTGTAAGACTCTTGCAATTGACCTTAATTGACTTTTCCATGTGAGCAACTTCTCTGGAAGGTGCAGCTGCGCATCTCGGAGGTGGCCACGGAAGTCTGGGACGTCATTGAACGACGACAGGACACGACACTCCTCATGCTTGATCATGCTTGCAGAACTCTTGCAGTCCGTTCAAATCGTTCAAATCTCTTCAACATTCTTCCGAACGGAAGAGGATGGCTTCCTGACTCGGCTGCGCAACTTCCTGGATCAGTTCCGGGCGCCAGGCACATCTCAACACCCCATGGCACCCGGATAAATTCGACACATCCGATCAATCGTATAATCTTGTTATCTGAGCAGCCCCCGGTGGACCACCGGACAGAGAGCCTACTCACGAGACCAAGAGGTGTGACGGAGCTTCTGAAGCTCAAGAGCATGGTTGGACCAGATTCACCGCTGCCCAACACGACGCCTTGCCTAGTTGTGCTCAAGGTCTACATTGCTACATCTTGTCGCAGATTTCAGGATGGTTGTTGTGGTGGGACGGGAGCTCACACTCGCAACGGCACAGCTGTCGCTCCGTAGACTGCAAGTTCCTTGTACCATGGCAGAAGAATGGGCAGGGTGAGGAGGGAAAGCGCAAGAAAACATGCAAGGAAAGCCTTTGAAACGCAAGCAGTAGGGTGTTTTTCAGAATGCAGAGGTTGGAGCTGGCGGGGCCGGGGTGAGGGCGGGAGGGGCGGGGCAAAAGCGCACTGTTCAATTTTTTTAGACATGCTACAGAATCATGAAGTGGGCCAAACAAGCAACAAAGTGTCACGGCCTCAAAAGCTGCGATGTTCTAAGGAAGGGAGCTACACTGCTGATGATGGCTAGCGAGCTTGGCTTGGAGGAAGCTTGTGTTAGAAGGGTTCTGGTTGTAGAGCCTTAGAGTTTCGCGCTTGGCAATGCCGTCGCAAGCTATTCTCAGCAGAAATGCTGAACTTGGCAACAGGAGTGCTCGCTTAGCAATATGCCAGGTGATAGTATTGACAGCGTCATGTAGGCTCAGTGCAGCACAGGATGTGGTGGAGGAGCTTCTGAGCATTTCTGCCGACCCCTTGAAAACTACTTCTGCCCCTTGGAAAAGCAACAGGGTCCTTGCGTCCAATCGTCCGAGTGCACAGGTGTACAAAGAATCTCGATAACGGTTAGAAGCTTTCCGAGGCCGGCTTTGGCCCAGGGACGTCTGCATTACAGCTGGCAGCGGGACAGGGCCACGCTGCTGTGCTCAGGCTCGCGGGGAAGGGTGGCGGGCAGGCTCGTCAGCAGCTTTCTGCTTCCCGGTTCAGGATGCTGCTCGCGGCAGAGCATGGCGACGTCGACTCACACACTGCCGCGCTGTGTGCAGAAGCTCTAGGACAAGGGCTGGTGTCTTTCACTGACTCAAGAATACGATAGCGGACTCGACTGCACTGACTGCACTCTTACTAACAAGGTCACAAGCGAAGGGATCATTTGGCCAAAAGCGTTGCAAGTGTTGAGGAGCAGCGATCGAACGACATCACATCCCCTGTGCGGCTTGTCTCGGAGTCTGCACAAACGCGTCTCAGTAAAAAGGTCGAGAGCTCTGTGCAGGTTGCCCATGTAGCGCCCATCTACCAAGGTGGAGGAGCTTTTGCGACTTCCCGGTGTCGCCGATCTGCGAAACAGTTTCTCGTCTGTCAGCGCTGGATTGTCGTTTCCGACGACAGCATTTTCTACCCACAACTTGTGCCAGCCTGTTGTCGACACTTTGTGTCGTAAGTGAGGCATGGATCTCACTGGACTTCTCACGGCAGTACAGGCTGGGAACACGGAGGCTTGGCAAGGCAGTCGCAGTGTTCGGGGATTTGGGCACCCGTCAGGCCTTGACATGTGCCCCGACTAAGGAGATTATCTCCATGCTTGTTGAGCACGGGGCGAACATCGAAGCCCGCACAGCGCATTCGGGCTTGCTAGTTTCGAAGGCGGGAACCATTACATTGCAGCTGTGTTGAATAAGCAAAACTTCTTTGAAGTTTGAATACAAGTGTCAGCCAGTGTCAGCACTCAATTTCTGAAAAGGCCGGAGCCGAGAAGGTGAACGGCCCCTACCAGCAGGTGGGGGGTGATGGCGGGGGTGCCTCTGCTTTTTGTGATCTTTCCATTATCTTTCCTGTTCTGAAAAAGGGGGGTTGAGACAACAGGGAATTTTGCGCCATGCTGCGGAGTTGCAGGTGGGCGAGTTTAGCGGCCGGCCGCTGTACGAGAACCTTTTTGGGGCTGTGGTGTGCTTGGGCTTCATTGTCCAATGTAGCCGCTTTACCCTTTTGCCGACTATTTTGTTATTCTGGTGCTTGATGACAGGAATGCCATCCGATGAAATTTGTGATGCGCTTTGCTTTCGTCAGGTATTGCAAAGGATGGTGGAAGATTGCCCTATCCCGAGCAAACATGGAGGAGACGGAGGACATGCTTCCAGCGCACACCAGGGATCATTGCAGTTCCACGGTTTTTCTCTGTGTTTTTTTCACTGAATGAGAGCAGGAGCGCTTCATATATTCCGCTCCAGCGCCTCACGAGGAAAGGGGATCCCGTCCTCCCAATGTGGAGCGCTCTCTCTCTCTCTCTCCCTCTCTCTCTCTCTCGCTCGCTCGCTCTTTCCCTCTCGCTCAAGAGCCCAAGCAAGTCACGCCGCGCTTTAGAGGACTTTCCTGAGCCGCCCATCGGCCAATGGACGACCACGGGTGGCCGGCGAGAGGCAAGTCGAAACTCCCGAGCTTCCGAAAGCTCCCGAAAGCTCCCGGAACGTCCGCGACACATGCCAGTCTCATCCCAGACTGGAGCCCTCGAGGATGGTCCCTCGCCGCCACCGGCGCCCATTGTCACGTGGATTGCACGGGCCGGGCAGGCGGAGTCTCAGGGTACGTGAGGACGGAGTTTGGACAGTTTTAGCCGCGTTGGGAGATAAAGTGAGTCAGTTGAGGTGTTGAGGCTTCTTCAACTGACCAGCTTAGAACTTCTTGAAGGTTGTCGGTGCATGGCTTGGCATGGCTTGGCATGGCTTGGCATGGCTTGGCATGGCTTGGCATGGTTTTTTGGCATGGCATGGCTTGGGCATGGCATGGCACGGCTTGATGTCCGATGGAAGGCAGCCACCCCGCTGCTGCTAGCGGCACAGCTCGGCTTGGGTGGGGTCGCTGAGCGGCTGCTGGAGCGTCTTGGCAAGTTTTCAAGGCCTTCTCGGCGCAAGCAGTCGCATGCGAACACCGCCACCAACCCCTACCAACCTCCTTGCTGATGTTGCTGGGTCCGGGTAAACATTGTTGAGCCACGGATGTCGATGATGCACGTCTTTGTGGATGCTCAGCCGCTCGCGACCTTGCCCCGGCAGCTGATGCTCATGATGCTCATCGCACGCTGCGGGGAAGGGGCCCGTCCGAGTGGGGGGCGGGGCGGAGCAGCAGACCAAAGTCAAAATTTTCATTGGCGCCACCCCATGTGGAGGGCAGATTAAGACGTTTCAATGCATTTTAGGCTTTTTCTGGTGAATACTGGGCGGAATACAAAAGAGATCACGTCGCCTCAGGTTGAAAGCGGACCTCAGCGCAGAGATGCCGGGCACGAAACAGGCACTCCCAAACATCAGAGCACAGCTCTGTCTGACGTCATGTAGCCTCATGCTGTGATGGTCGCACGAACGTGCCTGGTGTTGCGAGGGCATGACAATCAATGGACACCCATATGCACAACATGTAGCAGTTTTACACCTTGTGAGCCTCGAAGGTTGCATAAGATTTGCATAGAGGTGCCCATGCACATTGCGGCGATGGTCGGCGAGCTGGGTGTGATTCGGGCACTTATCCAGGCCTTGATAGCACAACTTTGCCTCTGTCAGCGGTGTGTGCGTGGTGTGCAAGGCGCCTTAGCGTGGGTTTGACGGTTGTTTGAGTGTACTTTGTCCTTACTAGACGGACTACTTGATCGCGTTTCCGTGATCTTCCCGCAAGGCCTCTGCAGATCTAGCGCGCGCGGATGCCGTGGGCTTCACACCCCTGGCGCTGGCAAGCCATGCAGGGCACCCAAAGGCTGTCCAGGAGCAGAAGGGTGTGAAGAGGGCTTCAAAGGTTTCGGCAGGGTGCACCCCAGGGTGCACCCCAGGGTGCACCCCAGGGTGCACCCCAGGGTGCACCCCAGTGTGCACCCCTGCCATCTTACGCTCTGACGACGACGCTTCTCGACACTTTGTGCAGGAGCTGCTGGAGGCAGGAGCCTTGTCTGAGCCGGCAGGGGAAGCACCATCGCCCATGGTTCCCTTGGCTGCCAAAAGGGTGCTTACACGCATGTCATTGGCATGATTCGTGGCAAGATGCAATCAGGATGAAAATCCTACCCGTGCCACTGCTGTGCGCAAGTGAGGTTTTGGCCGCTGGATGTGGGAGCTACGTGATCGAGGGAAAGACAGGCTTGATGACAGGGCGTGCGCGTTATGTGTACAAGCATGGCATAAGCGTGGCATAAGCGTGGCAGAAGCCGGGTGAGTACGGTGGAGCGGTCGAGGTTTGTGAGCAGCATTCCTTGTTCTTGTGTGTGCAACATTGCAACCAGATACTTGCCACTAAGCATTCGGTGTACCGCCTTTGCGGTTTTATGAGAGAGAGAGGAGAGAGAGAGGAGAGAGAGAGAGAGAGAGAGAGAGTGTGTGGTTCTGCGTGAAGTCGCCGTCCACAAAGGACCGCCAGCTGGCATGACTGCCTACTGTGAGATTGTGCAGCTGCTGTTGGACGCGAAAGGCCCACTTGCAGTCCAAGATCACAGGCATTGAGCTGGAGAGCGCACCAACATTCTGCAACTAGCCGTGTTGAAGAACTAGCACATCTAGCGTGACTGCAAAATGCAAATCGTATCCGCACAAAGTAGCCTCGCAGCGGTCCTCCGATATCCCCTCCCAGGCCACCCCAAGACTAAAACCTGTAACCCAGCACGGTGGACGTGGACCGTACAACAGCAGGTTTATCCCTCGACTTGGGAGTCGGGCTGGTCGGGCCGGGGTGTGCGGTCGTCTTCCTGGATGAAGGAAAGGTTTCGTTCGTTTGGTTTCGAGATTTGAAGTGGAAGCCATGCCCATGACTTCGGTTTTTATTGTCTCACAGCATCTTTGGCGGGAAGCTTAGCGCCTGCGAACATGAATCCAACCTAGAAGATTTTGCTGTGCAACCCGTGACGGAGTCGTCCAATTTCCAGGGCAGGTCAGGCCACAGCTTTCCCAAAACCGCACGCTACAGATGAGCATGCAAAGTTCAATGTAGGGGAAGTGCAAAACGAACAATTTGACAATTGTGCCTTTTCTGAAAGGTGACGCCTCGTCTGCTGCCCTTGAGGTGCGACTTGAGAGGGTTTGGGCTTCAGGGCAACTGGTTTGAAACTGAACAATACAGGCGTTTTGAGTTTGGGGAGTTCGCGGCACACTTTCTCCTCGGTAAGTACTTTTGGGCACAAACCGGTGCAGCCACCTGTCCCGCGCTATCCAGTGTTGAACAGAAACTTTTCGATAACTTGCCATCCTGGGACTTCCCGATGGTACGCGATGCTCGAAAAGAACGTCTTTCGCCTCGCAAACTTTCGCCCGAGCGCGACTTTGCGCCTTTCGCACTTCTTCCCCTTAAGCCTTCAGCACCCCATGGAGAGCCCTTGCCGATCCTTGTCAGCACATGGTTATGAACATGACTTTTCCCTTCAACTCCGAGGCGGCAGCCGTGGCTGGCGCCTCAGCGGTCCTTGCAAAGCTGGCCGAGCAGGCGGCAGTGGACGAGGTGGAGTTCGTATGTTCTGTCTATATATATATATATATATATATACAGCAGCACAGGCTTGGGGCATCAGGGTTTCAAGTTAGAAGGCGCTTATAGGGGTACTTTGTCTGCATTGCTGCGTTCCGGGCACGCCCCCGGGTCGTAATAACTTGTTTTTCCCAAACTTGACATCAACTCCCAAAGCGAGAAAGGCAGGACCCAGCGGCGCCTCGCCACTGCTAGCGGCATTACGCCATGCCTCCACCCCGCGCCTAGCAGTGAAGGACCAGGCTGGGGGCTTGAGGTTCCAAAGCTTGACCAGGATTCCTCGTGGGGCTTTCGGGCTGCGACCCTCGCCCCGAACAAGGGGCCTCGTCAAACATAGTCAACATATAGTGAAACAGAGTCAAACCATAGTGCAGGGCTGACAAACAGTGCCATGGGCTTGACAGCAGCTGGCGGATGGCATGCTGTGACACCACTAAGTGCTCCTTCACCCCTTGATGGCCTTCCCGGAAGGGCCGTGAACCACCGCCGGAGCCAGTGGTGGGGCCGCAGGCAAGCAGCCGAGTTTAGCTTGGTTGATGTGCCTTTCCTCACCAACGTTTGCACGTATCCCGCAAGGCAGAGGCGGCCCGGCTCCTGTTGAGTCTTCGGGCCTCACCGTTGAACTGCGCCGGCGATGGTACCAGCTCCCTGGCCGTGCAAAATCGCCACTGCGATATGTCAGCTTCTTGAGAGAATCAAGCAGGCATCAGCAAACACATGACTGGATGCGATCTTCAAACAGCGAAGAAAGGAAACACTTCCCATTGTTCGCTTCCTGGCCTGGTTTTGAAGATGTGTCTGAAGTAAAAGGGGCAGCAGGGCTTCCTAGGTCCTAGGTGTCTGGCACGGAATCAAGTATTCACACTGTTGCCCCGGGATCTTGTCCAGCTTGGCAATGAACCGATGCTGGCCTCTTTCGCTGCCCATGTGGTAAGTCACATTTGACGGGATTCTCGGCGCAGAGTGGCTGCTTGTTCAAGCCGCATATCGGCATGTCGGTCCTGGTCGGCCTCTTGACGGCCGCGCGTCGTCCAAAACCATTTGCAGAAGGCGGTTGAAGCCTGACAGCAGCCACAAGGTGCCCTCATGCTTGTGGCGGCATTGGATGACCAGGACAGCGCACTCTAGGGTTCACGATGCTTGACATGCTGGCCACCACTCCAGACATCATTGTCAGATCTTGGAGAAGCCATATCAATAAGCACAGCTCACCACAATTGCCCACAACAGCCAGCAATGCCGCTGAGAAGATCCACTCGCTGTGTTAGACTGTGCTGCTTTGTCAGCCTCAAGAAAGCGCCCCCAAGTCATCAGAGCCAACTTTCAGCTTTGGGGAGAGGAGCTTTTGCAGCAGCTGCTCACATCTGGCGCCGAGGTGGGTAAAAACGGATAAAGCGAATAAAGCGGACAAAGCGGAAAGTGGAAAGCCAGCCGAAGGGGGGGGGATTCATAGTTTTTCTTCTTTGCCGAGCTCGTGTGTTCAGGAGCATGTTCACGACTTCCCCGAGAGACTCCCGTATACTCCAGTTTCTCGAATCAGCGCTTCCAGTTGAAACCTGCAGTCAACGTGTGAATCGGCAACTTCAGTTTCCCAAGTCCGCACCTTCTGAATCTACGATGCACCCGCATATGGTACGAGTGTGCCTGAAGCCCTCGCCGAAGCACGCCCTCAAACAGATGTGTAAATGTTTCCCCAGCGTGGTTCTCCAGTTGGATGGAAGCCGTGGCGCCAGCGACGCCTTGGCAGTTGTGGGAAGCCAGCCTGAGGACGGGTTTGTTTCATGTTTCGCGGTCTTCTCGGAGTACTTTTTGGTGAGGGCGCCTCTCGAGGCTTACGGCGCTTCAGGTTCCGTGTCAGGTAGTGCTTCGACAATAGCACTCGAATCCCCAAACCTATCCCCAAACCTCAAGTCGCTCATGCACGAAACCTCTTTGAGTATCCATTTTTTGGAGCCTTTCAGCCTTTATGCCCCGACCCTGAACCTCAACTCCTGGCTACACCGTGCTGCAACTGCTAGGAGTGGAAGGTTATCGATGATCTGCTGATGCACATGGAGGGCACTTTGGCCGAGAATGCACTGGCAGCCTCACCTCGAATGCTTCTGTTGCTTTATTTGGCGTGGGGGGAAGTCCGTTGCCCAGATCCGATTCTCGGATCTGATCAGGCCGGGTCACAAGCGGCTTGAGTATTTTCCTCGCTATGCGAACACAGACCTCAGGCAAAGGAGAGAGACACCAGACTCTTTCCTCTCCTGGCATGCGTGAAGTGAAAATCACAGAGTGGAGACACGAACTGGGTGGCTGGTTACTCCAACCGGTTCTATCCTCTTCTATCACTAGCGTTTATTCACTCCTTCACGCTGAAAAGACATAGTTCGAAGAGCAAGACCGACTCCGCCAACATAAGGGTCGAATCCATGCCCCTCGCTCGTTGTGTGTGATGGTACTCGCAAACTAACCGCGCGAGCGCAAACTTCCATAATTTTAAGCTACGGCCTGGCCGGCGGCGCGAGGCAACCCAAACCAGAAACCATGGGTGTGAAGCCTGTTGTAGCACGCAGGTACATGACAAGAACAGGCACCCCCAAATCTGAAATTGGCAAAGCAAGAAAGTAGCCAAGTGGGAGTGGTAAAGCAAGAAAACAAGCCGGGAAATCCGGTAGAGGAGCGGGGTTGGGAAGAGGGGGGCGGCCAAGGGGGGGTGAGGGGTGGTGGGGGTAGTGGGGGGGAAGGGGGGGGGGGGTGGCGCAGAAAGATGCCAAAACGGGTGCTCTGGTCCTATCTGTGGTGTGGTTGTGGGGTTGGGGTTTAGGGTTGAATGTAGTTTAGGGTTTGGGGTTTTTAAGCTGTCACACGGTGTTTGTTTAGGGTTTAGGGTGTCAAGTTTGAAGGTTTACAGGTGAGGGTTTCCCCCTCCTGTGGTGTGGTTGGGGCAGGGTTCAGGGTTTAGGGGAGGCGGGTTTATGGCTTGGGGTACCATTGGGGGGAGTGCCCGGCGAACCGCGAAGCGCAAGCGGTGATTTGAACCGGTTGGGTGGAATTCATGGTCCGAGAATGGCAGAATGGCACGGTGCAAAATGGGTAGGGTGCACCGTCGGTACACCTGACGTCAACTTCAAGAATTGAACGACTGCGAATGTGTCTGCACAGTCCCAAGAGAAGCGCTTGAATGACAACATCCAGGTACATCGCAACCATTGCCGCCGAGCGTCCTCTGCCCTCGGATGCATCCCATGGAGAGGCAAGGCTTCATGATGATGCTTCATGCTAATTCCGTGGATGCCCTAGAGTCCCTAGAGGCCAGCAGTACGTTCGATGCTCATGCTCACAATGAAGTCTTGTCCCAGGCTCAGAAAGGACCGGTGCCACCGAAGGCCACACTGCGACAGCTGTCGGAAGCAGGAGTTGCACAGCAGCCCAGCGCGGCAGCCAAGAGCGGGGTGTTTCCTTTGTTTAAGCTTTGTTTGCTTTGCTTCATTTCTGCATTAGGGGAGGCGCCCCTTCGACTTTTCTGCAAAAACTACAGCAGCGAGTAAATTTGCACCCTTGGACGCCTTCTGCCCGACGCCTGCGCTTGCTTTCGGCTTGTCACCCACAAGTTTGCTGGTGACAGGATAAATTCCAGGTGCAGCTTGCGTTGCACTGAGGTCATGTACCTAAGTGAATGCGGACGGCTACAATTGCTTTGTGTCAGGAGCGGCATGTTTCTTCCAGGGACAAATCGGATACCAACATATCCCAACTATCAGGGGCGGTGCCACAAGTGCATCTTTTGAAGCTGCCGTTCTGTGTGGGAGAATGTGTGGAAATCTTGAAATGGTACAATTGACAATTGCCGGCAAGCCGAGCGAGGCATGAAGCAGGGAGACTCGCACATGTGCCAAAGTGGAAAATGTAGGGAGGGATTCGCAACTGGAAGTTTCAGCTACGTGCACTCATGGGCTGTGGGTCGAGAGTTCGCAGTTTGGTGGAGTGTGCAAGCTGAAGTACCGAGCCCTATAAGCCAATCACATTGGAGGGTAAGGCTGCGGAGACTAAGGTCTACTGGACTTGTTGGCCCTGTGACTACGACTTGTGCGCCTCGACGGCAGTCTTGCGTTATCAGCCTGCTTCGTTCATGCCTACATGAGCGAGGGTGAGATCCAAGCGTCGAGGACGGTTGCCATGATTTCAGGTTGCATGCAGCCTTTTTTCCACACACCAGGCATTGATTGCGCCCGGGTGCCGCGTGTGGTGCAGTTCCGAGAGGGCTTCGACCCGTTCACCGAGACCGAGGAAGCTCCGTGGCTTTCGAAAGAGGCATCAACTAAAACGCTAGTCTCAACGCATCGAGCCCAGCTGAGGTTGTCCTGCCAGAAAGCACGCCCCAAGAGCTTCTCAGGCGGGACATGGCGACAACATGCGAAAACGATGGCGAAAATCACTAAATCTCGAGATTTGATCTTGCTGAGTCTTGAGTTAACATAGTCACTGGTGCGCTCTTCCCGTCCCCTCCCTCACCCCTTCTCTTCTGGCAGTAGCGCTTTCAAGTTGGTGTCTCCTAAACTTCCCTCAGCCGTGCCGCAGGAGCCCCTCAACCGGGGATCCTCCCAAGCATCTAACAGAGCTGGTGCCATAGCGGGGAGGCTTGAGGAAGCAAAGCCGAAGCTTGGGGAACAGTTGACATCATTCCTCGTGTCGATGTGCTCCTGCAGGAGCCCCGCGTTTGTCACCACCAGAATGGATGGTTGGAGCTTGGGCCAAAATTTCTCACTTCTTGAAACCCTCTTAGCACTGTTTTAATAGCATAAAGGTGCTGTTGCTTAGGTGGACGACCCTACGGGCCCGAGTAAGAATCCTTAGGAGCCGGCAGTGCTGAGTACACCTAAGGACTGCGCTGCACCATGCTGTTGTCGCCGGCAGTGAGAAGTCCGTGAGGGCGCTGCTGGATGCCAAGGTGAGCGACTGTAACAGCGCCAGAGAAGTTCTGAAGATCTGAGAGGTCGCATCACCCCCTCACCTGCAATCCCATCTGGTTCCAACCCAATCCACCCTGACAGTGTCAAGGCAGTTTTGCAATGTACGGCGTTTCGCGATTCCTGCATGTCGGTGCATCCTTGTGCAGGGGTCAGGCTCATGGGGATTTTCGAAGATCCGAACGCTAGTCCTGAAGTAGGCCGACCCTGCTCGGGCGGATGCGACCGGCCTCACTCCCCTCCACTGGGCGGCCTTCCTAGGCCGGCTTTGGCAAAGTGGCGCAGGGGAGGGTTTGAGAATTTGGGGGATTTAAGGGGATTTTGGCTTCAAACAAGGCGACTCTGTGCACTCATGCGCAAGAGATGAATACTCTGAATACACCCATCCGTCCAGCAGTAGGTGCCCTTTGCTTCACTCCTGACGGAAGGCTGACCTCCTGCGGTTTAGTGGAGAACTCGTGTCATCAAGAAAGCATGCCGCGAGTCAAGAGAGAATACTGATGTGGGTCTTTTGTGTGTGTGTGTTGCTATGACTTGACGTGGGTTTCCTCTGAAGCTCCGCTGGCAGGCAACAGCACCCTCCAGTGCTTGATCGAGTCTGGCGCCCCTGTCGCAGCTCTGGACAGCGAGGGAAGGCCGATCTATGCTGACATGGGATGTAGTTGCATCAATTCACAGCACTTGAGACTCTGGAAGCTGTTGGAGGCCACCGCTGTCGCTGATGCCCACGGACTCCCAGCCAAGAAAAGTGGTCAGGGAAAGTTGGAACCGGTAAAGTGACTGCAGGGCAGAGCGGTTCAAGGGCGGCAAGGTTTCAGAGGCTCTGACAAGACTACTGGTGTAAATTTGAGCGTCTTTGCGTGCATCGCAGTGTCAGCTTCGGAAACGGTGCACAGAATGTTGTGATTGCTGAGGAAGCATTGAGATATGCTTTCCGTGCCCTGGAGTTCGAGTTTAAGGAGCTATGTTGTCACGAGACTTGCCTTCATCGGTGCAGATGATGGTTTTTGCAACGGTTTCTGAGTTGCGGACGCTGAAATCTTGAAACTTTATCCCTTGCTTGGCCGCCAAAGAGGCATTACTGCACCATCATCACAGTGCATTGTGCTGGTAACCCACAAAGACACAGAAGCTACAGCCTTCCAACGGCATTCGTGCTCAGGAACTGCGCGTTGTGGGCTCAGGCAGGTTCCTCACGGCCACAGCGCATCCACTGCCTCAGCGTTAAATGCTTTAATATGTTTTAATCACGCAGACCATGTGAATGTGAACATATATGCCGGCGTAGATTCCAAACAGTGAGAGACCGCATGGGGACACGAAGAGTTTCATGGATCACGAAAGACTTTGATGTCCCTGGAGCTCCAGACGTCCTCAGCGTACTACATCTGTGCTACAAATGTCGACTTTCGAGGCGGGAACGCGATTTCCAAAGCCCCGAACTGCGGAGATGCCCAAAAGCAACGACAGTTTCGCATTCGGCGAAGCCCAACGTCCAAAAGCAGTTTCGGTTTCGCGAATCCCGACGTAGACGTAAATCCCCTGAGTTTGGTCAAAGTTTGGTCGCACGCAGCGAACCATCCAACGGCCCAAAGCGCAGGATTCCACACGTTTTCGGGACGCGCACAAACACCACGAAATGCGCACGAGGCCTAAACGACAGCGCGAGTCGACAACATGTAGCAGCAGTAGTAGTAGTAGTAGTAGTAGTAGTAGTAGTAGTAGTAGTAGTAGTAGTAGTAGTAGTAGTAGTAGTAGTAGTAGTAGTAGTAGTAGTAGTAGTAGTAGTAGTAGTAGTAGTAGTAGTAGTAGTAGTAGTAGAGGTAGTAGTAGTAGTAGTAGTAGTAGTAGTAGTAGTAGTAGTAGTAGTAGTAGTAGTAGTAGTAGTAGTAGTAGTAGTAGTAGTAGTAGTAGTAGTAGTAGTAGTAGTAGTAGTAGTAGTAGTAGTAGTAGTAGTAGTAGTAGTAGTAGTAGTATTAGTAGTAGTAGTAGTAGTAGTAGTAGTAGTAGTAGTAGTAGTAGTAGTAGTAGTAGTAGTAGTAGTAGTAGTAGGAGGAGGAGGAGGAGGAGTAGTAGTAGTAGTAGTAGTAGTAGGTAGGAGTAGTAGGAGTAGCAGCAGCAGCAGTAGCAGCAGCAGCAGTAGCAGCAGCAGCAGCAGCAGCAGCAGTAGCAGTAGCAGTAGCAGTAGCAGTAGTAGTAGCATGTTTCGAGGCCCCGAGAAGTCGGGAGTGTTGGCACACTGTTTGGGAAGCAACCCTTGCTCCTTTGCCCATTTTGACCCAAAGGCTTAACACCAAGCTGCAGCTTTTGCCGAAACCCTAAACCTCGGCTTTGGACACACATGTCTGCGACCGCTTTGAAGGCCCTGCGGATGGCCTCTACGTGCAGGTCAAGCCGCCGCCGAAGGAGGCAGCCGAGGCAGCCGAGGCAGCCGAGGCAGCCATTCTTTGGGCGCTGTGTGGGCCCACCGGGATGAAGGACAAGGGCACTCGTGAGTTTAGTATCTTCATATTCGAGGCTAGGAAAAGGCTCGTTCTGAAGATACTATAGTAGGGGCTTGTGGCCGCATAAGCTTCGGTACAAATATTTCAAAAGTTCTTTAGGTGCTCGCTCATTCCTCTGGTACTACATTAATGAGCGAGTATGCGAGCAGCCAAAATCTGAGTAATCATGGAGGTCACTATGAAACTGCTGGGCTCCGTGCCGTTTTCACCACCGCTAATGGAGGGGTGCAGTATGGGAAACGATGTTCAGTCGGTATTGTTGAAGCCCAGGCCCCTAAGCTCATTGCTTGAACCTGACACTTGCTGGATGACCTTGTTGCAAAAAGTGGCAACACGAGTTCATGGCTTTTGAATCGGAGGCAGCACAATCAAGCGCCTCTCAGACGCAGCAGCCAACTGAGCCGGCTGAGTCAGCCGCTGCTTCAGCTGCCCCAACTTCCCCAGCAGCGCCAGAAGCCGAGGCCAGAAGGGATCATCATGCAGTGCCTTGCTTGTTTGGGCAATTGTTCAACAGTCTGACAATGCCTATGTTCGAACAGCGCACACAGGAAGCCGAGCAGACCGGCGCGCCTCCGCCGCCGCCGGAGGCCAGGGTCTGGATCAAGCCGTGATCAGTTCGGAGGTAGTGCCGAAGTTTCCAGAGGCCTGGGTTGATGGCTGAGAACACAGATACGCATGGCTTGCTTACCCCACCGTCGTAAACACAGCAATCGGGCGTAATGTAGTGTTGCAGAGAAACCGGGGCAACATAATTCATTTCTTAGAGGGTTTTCCGCTCGTCTCAATGCCAGCTTCAAAACTGAGCGCGAGCTTCAACAGACGAAATGGAACGGATCAAGCCTTGATCAGGCAAGGAGTTCGGGATTTCTTCAATTCGGCTTGTTTTGGGTTCTGGAACATGTGGGCCAAGGTTTCTGGCGCTCATGGGTTTTATTCCCAAGGCGCCCGGCGAAGCTGGAGCCACTGGTGGTGAGGATGAGGCAGCGGGCGATGCGACGCAAACAAACATCCCAGCCCCAAGCAGGCACGGGGCTGTGATGGAAGTCCTAACGGTCCTAACAAGGCTTGTTGCCCTGCTTGATTGGCTTGGATGCCAGGCCTCGATACCAAAGGGCAGCCGGCATGCAGAGAAGTCAAATTCTTCTTCGCGTCCACACGACATAGTATCCTTTACCCAGGTAAACTGTTGGTAAACTGCATGTGCTTGAACAGCCATTACTGTGAACCGCTGTGACGCATCTGAGACTGACGGCGTGCCCTTCAGCATCAGATGGGATGAGAAGAACGGGTGGGCACTGTACCAGACAACTCCCACTCCAGCTGGTGGGGCCACTTGGTACTGGCACCATTATTCCAAAACATACAGAGTGGCAGATAACTTCTCAATACGACTCAGACGCTCAGGGCAGTTTCGACGACATGGCATATCAAATCTAAGGAAGCATGCGTTTTCAAGAGCAGCCAGGACGCGTGTAGGATCATAGGATCGAGTTGCAGGAGGGGCGATGTTTTCGTTTAGGGACCAAAGAGGCGCAGTCTACTGGTGGCACTTGTCAGACATAGTCAGACCCTTTAGATCCAGAGCGGCAGGACACGCGGTACTGTCCAGCAGATGGATGGGCACCAGACGAACGCGTGCACTTCGAAGAGCCGCCTCGAGTGCACGTGGAGGAGGGGCCGAGACTGCCTGACTTCGCCTCTGACTTCGCCTCTGACTTCGCGCCATGTCTTTTGGCCATGTCTTTGGGGTACCCTGTGCTCCAGGAAGTGGCGCCGTACCGATGGGGAGTGCTCCTCTTTCAGGCCGGCTGAAGCAAGCTTTGCAGAATCAGAGTAGGTAGAACTTAAGCACTGGGTCTGGGGTCCATGTCTGATGACAGTCTGTTACCGATCAGAACTTCGGAGAACTCTTAGTGCCCTGAGATGCACGTTTCGCGATGCACTTGTCTTAAGATGCCCTTAAAAATGAAAGCAAACGCCACAAACGCAGCCCGCCTCGGCACCAGCACAACTCAACTTGAGGGGCATAGGGGTCCATACGGAATTGGGGTCCCTATCGGGTTTGATGGGCATCAATAAGGGTCCGTGTCAGCAGGTGCTGTCTACTCGACGGTTCTCCACAGATTTAGGTCCGTATCAGTCCATAGCCAGGAGGAAGTCCTGAAGTGGGTCGGTGGGTCGGTCATATGCGGTTTGGTTTATAGGGGTGTGGAAGGGGACAGGCTGGAGCTGGCTTGAAACGAAGGGGTCATGCAGAGCATGTCCATAGGTGGTGTGCAGGTTTGCGGCTCCTAACGGTATCGAATAGGGGTCCGTAGGAGGTCCATTCCATAGCTGTATGGGGGTCCATAAAACCATGAAAACCTCATACAGGCCCTTAAGGCTGCATGGCGGCAGAACAACGCGTGCCATCCACAGAAACGGGAGGCCCACAACAATCCACAGTGGTTGCAGCATGGGACCCCATAGAAAAGGTCATAGGGGAGAAGGTCCACAAGACAGTCAGCACAAGACAGAAATGCAGCTCATACAAGGGGTCCATAGCAGGTTCCATAAAGAGTTGAACAGCTTTGTCTGGGGGCTGGAGGGGAGCAAAGCGGCAGGTGAGGCCTCTGAACCGACCCCAGAAAGAACAGATGTGAACAGTGTCCAAAGTGTAGTTTCGGTGGGTGCCGCGGAAGGCTTATTGGGGATCAGTTGGTCAGCGGATGCACACCCCTCGCGCTTGCTGGTGGCCATCCTTTCTGTGGCCCATCGGCATGTGCAATCTGTTGACATCGCCGCACCGTGATTCAAGATCAGGCGACTCCAGCTGAGCTGCGAAGACCAGGCTTGCAAGAAGAGGCCGACACAGCTCAGATTGGGGTTTGTTGTTGGGCTCTGAGCGGCTCGAATTGCGAATTGCAACTGAATACGCCGAGCTGTATCAGCAGAGGCCAAGGCTTGGACTTGTTATTTTCTGACATTGATGCGCTTCGAAAATCCTTCGACCTGTGCCAGTACTGAGTACATCGGAGTGCATCGGAGTACATGGCGTACATTGGTATGGACACTCTATCCTACATCTTATCAGTGACGAAAGCTACTCTCGACGTTCAAGCCCTAATCTTGCAACAAGTCTGACATGTCTGACCGCCTGCCAACTTTTTGTTGGACAAGTCCCTTCGTGTCTCTGGCAGAGCTCATGATCGTCAGTCTGCCAGGTAGACTCTTTGCCCGAGCTGAAGCAGACGACCTCGGTTGCCAGACTCAATGTGCTCGTAGGACCCGTAGGAGCCCTCGCAAAGAGCTTTGCAGCATGGCTTGACATGGCTGGCTTGCCAGCGTAGCCAATGAGTCGCAAGGGCTGACGTCGCTGCAACATAACGCGGCCCATGAAGGGATGGTCGCATGAGAAAGCCTGCTGAACCGAAGGGCACCTAAGAGCCGAGGTGAGTCGAATCTTCATTCCTGGCCTTCCAGGGATGCAGATCTCGTTTTCGGGCGCCGGGGGCGCCGAGGGCATGCACCAGTGGCTGGGCACAGATGGGCTCGCTCTCTTTCTTTCTCTCTCTCTCTCTCTTTCTCTCTCTCTCTCTCTCTCTCTCTCTGTGTTTTCTCTTTCCCTCCCGTTTGAGCACATTCACCCTGCAACAAACACCAGTCACAGAACAGCACTTGCGCAGCACAATTGTTCCAGGAGAGCTCTGGAAATGGTCATGCGCGGCATGGACGAGCCATCTTGCCCGGTCAGCTGACTTGGAGTCGGCAACTCAGAATCATGAGGGCACAACACGATCACGAATCAGCGCCCAAAGCCGACTCAACGCAAGGCGAGAATGCTTGAGTGAACTTCATTGCTCATGGTCGTGCCAAGAGCGAAGCTCAGATTCAGGTTTGAGTGCGATGCTGCTTGACAGCAGTGGCGTGAGTGCAGGGTCGCGAACAGATGCCGGCTGCGCTTCACATAGCGAAAAGACCCTCGTCGCCAACTGCTTAAGAGCAAGGTCAACTAACCGTAGCCTAACCGTATGCTGACGCCGAAATTGGTGCAGCTCACAGCCGGTAGCTTTTTCTCTGTCGTGGAAGTGTCGCTACAATCACGGTAAATAATGACGGGACAGAGAACTTCCTCGTCAGTGGGCTTGGGAGGGCTGTCAAACCCCTCTATAGGCTACGTGGTGAACGACCAGCCTGCCGCATGTAATTTGCTATTCCCGTGAATCTTTGAGGCAGGTCCTCCGCCTTTCATCACATAGTCTAGCCTCGCCCAAGTTTATTGCAAAAGCGCGCAAAGCGCACTACCTCACAGCACCAGCCAGCAGTGCGAAAACTGCAGAGTTGAGTGGTCATTGTTGAAGCTTGGGGCCTGGCTGTAAGTGCTGCTTTGCTACATCGCTGAGGGCTTCAACCGGGGGAGCCTATCTCGCCAACGCCATTCTCCGACATTCCCTGATGCCAGGTGCAATGGCTGTGCTAGACGATATCAGCTTTGTTCTCAGTGCGAGAGGCATGCTGTCACAGGTTTACAAGGGTTTGCTCTCTGCAACTGAAGCCGCCCTGTGGATGTATTGACCCGAAATCCTTCAATCTCAGGAGCCTCCGTCCAAAATCTCCCGGCGTTTCTGTTCCTTGTGCACGTTCGCCGCGCAACGCCGCAGAGCCCAGGAGATGGACATTGCGTTAGGCTCCCTTGTGTTCCCCACTCATTTTTGCCAAAAGGAACCTAGGTGTGCTGAATGGCAGAGACCTTGACGACATGTTTTTTTTGGGGAGAGGGCTCAGGCAAGGCCAGGGACATGCTTTTTTTGGAGTAGTGTAGTTCGACCGTGGGGGGGGGGTAGCCTCCCAGAATTCAAGAAGTAGTTGCCCGACTGGATGTTAGCAAGGTTCTTGCTGAGCCTCTTCCGCTGGAAGGATGCCGGTGATGCGTTTTCGCGATGGGCTTGGCATACGTGAATTGTCACGCATGGCATGCTCTTCACATCTCTTCAGTTCATGTCTATGGACGCACATGGCATGACATGTTTGTGGCGTGCTCGCTGTGTGTGAATGTTGGAAGCTGGCGAGTTGCGACTCGAAACCCCGAACCCGAACAGCAAACTTGAGCGTGGCCAGAACTTGCTGCCAGGGATGCGGTGCAGGTCTACCGTTCTGTCGGAAGGCAGATGCCTCTGCAGATCTCTGCAGCATAGCAACATGTGGTGTACCAGCTGCTAAAAACTCTGCGTTGCAGGCGGGCTTTGTGTCCATCGTTGTCCTTGAACTCGCATCTTTGTTATGAACGTGCCGGTTGCGCCGTGGGGCACTGAGTGAGCCTTGAGATGCTTCGGGAGCAGTTTTTGTATGAGGGTGCGAGCACCTGCCCAGTAACCGCTGTCGTCGACTCGAGACAGTATGCAGTTGACAAGGCCAGCCTTGCACCATATGCTGGCCAAGGACCGTGCTGCAGAGATGCGTGCGACCCAGAAAGTTGCTCTGCTAGCGACGGAAATTGAAACCTCCGTGGGCCCAGAACTAGCCAAACTACCCCCCAAAAAAAGCTCCTGCAGTGAGGCTGTCCCTGTGTCGCTCCTATCGCGAGGCCTTTTCAGGTTGATATGGGCACATCAGGTCACATGCAAAAGTTTTAGAATGCCGCGAGAGGTCATCTATCACAGACGCATGTGCCGGGAAATCCGGGCGCATGTGGGACAGGAGAAGAAGAAGTGGTCGCCGCTGGATCGTGTGCTGGGTGCTAAGTTGCGCCCGTTGGGCTAAGCTACAAAGGCGCCCTAAACGCCTGAAACCATCTGAGAAAGCAATGGGCCACATGAGGTCGCTGCGACAAGCAGAGTCTGCATATCGTCAGGCTCAGGCACCCCTTCGCAGGTGTCCTCACCCTGTACAGTTTCATTCAAATGAAAAGGAGGCAGCTGGCAGCTCGGAGGATGCTGCAGGCTGGCTTGTATGAGAGCAGACGTCTTGTGGATCATGAGGCACATGGGCCAGGGAAGGCACTGGAGCCCGAAGAAGCCGACGAGGCAACGACAAAGAGACGTCCAGAAGATGCCCTTAGCATCCCTTAGCGACTAAAGGCGGCAGTCCACGCAAGTGAGCACCATAAAACTCCAGCTGCCCTCAGTAGGCACCTGGCTACCAGCTCGGCGAGCAGAAATGGCGCCCGATGCTGCTGCTCTACCTGAAGGCAAGGACCCTCGGCAGCGCACAGAGAGCTCTGCAGTTTGCTCATGTGCGCAAATTGCAGTTTGCTCCACAGATCTCCTGCGTTTACCGTGGGGTGAACTTCATGACGGCCGATGCAGCCCAGGAGCTCACACCGCATCCCCGCGCATCCCGCGCGCATCCCCCTCGCATCCCTTTCGCATCCTCGCTTCTCCTTCTGTGCTCCTCATTTATCATTCGTGTGCGGTGTCAAACGCTTGTACAAGCGTCCATGCAAACGATGCAAACCATCCAAAGCCCGTTTGTTTTTTAACGCTGCGCGACCCCCGCCTCGGCCTGAGCTTCCTGGGGAGGAGGCAGTGTGCGGTGCTCGGAGGCCTGCCGCAGTGCTAAAGAACTTTGTTGTATGGGGAGGTGGTGAAAGGAATAGTTGTAACGATGGTGGCTCTCTCATTCATCCTGGCATGTTTGAAGCTGGTCTGAAGTCGGATGATGCTTTTGTGCCTATATTAGCAGACACTTGGAATGGCACGTGTAAAGCGAGATGAGCTGATGCGTGGAGTAAGGATGCTGCCCTGTTGCACCAGACCAGGAAGAATGCAACAGAGGTCGGATGAAGGATAAACGGCATGATTCCTCGCCCCCCAAAGCTATCCACACAAGGGGTCCATGAGCAGGCAAATGCAAGTGCACTTTCACGGTTTCACGGGTAAGGGAGGGAGGTCTTGGTTTGCTCGGGACCTCTTCCGACCCTCTCGGTCACCTGCATGCGAATGGGCGTTCCCCCCCCCCCCCCCCCCCCAAGGCGGTTCAGTTACAAGCATACAATCGCATATGTGCACGACATATTCTCCTTTCTCGTTCTTTCGCACTGGTCAGATCCGAGCACTTGGCAAAAATGGGCTTCATTCTCCGTTGGCAGTGCCAGTTCAGTTCATGAGAGTTCACGGTGTCTAGTGGCTCAACGGTTTACTATAGCATCGGTTCGGTATGATTTGGCGGTATGTGCGTAAATTGGATTTCAAGTTCTCTCCTCCTAGATGCCTTGCTTTCTCTCGAAAGGGTACCGGTCAGGAGTTCCTTCAAATGGTGCAAGAAGAGGCCAAAAAGCACGAGGATGCAGATGGCCGCCTGTCTGCACATGATGAAATGCTGCCTTTTCATGTCTACTTGAGTTTACACTTGAGTGTACACTTGAGTTTACACTTGAGTTTACACTTGAGTTTACACTTGAGTTTACACTTGAGTTTACACTTGAGTTTACACTTGAGTTTACAATTGAGTTTACACTTGAGTTTACACTTGAGTTTACACTTGAATTTATTATATACTTGAGCTTATACATGCTGTAGTTTATCAAAGCACTCTGGCCGGCCTGCTTGCACTGCGCGTTGTGGCCTAGGTCGGTGTATGGCTTTCTGCATCCAGGCAGAGGCGAATTTGGTCAGCATCAACTCGGCTAGGGAAGCTTCGTCAGTTCGCAACATTTCGGGCGGCTGCAGCGCTTTGGCTTGCCAGGCCCTGCGCCAGTCGGAAAATTGGGACGAAGCCCTGCGTCTTGCTGGTGAAGGGATTGCCACTTGGTAGTCACTCCGTCATGTAGCATTTTTCTCTGCAAACATATAGGGCTCGGAAAAACAACGACTTTCAAGCTTCATTTTCGCACATCGCGGGAGCAGCTTGACAGAGTTACTGGGATGGTGTTCGTTCCAGCGTGGTTCTCCGTGCCACTCGAGGCTCTGCAGCCTGAGCTGACTACAGCAGGGGTGAAATCAGGCAAGTGAAGCTGTCTGCTTTGTGAGCAAAAGAGAAGACAGTGGACAAATCTCCTGACATCGAAGCTGCGATGAATGCGAACAGTGGAAACAATTGGGAGGCTGCCTCCACTTCTGCTATCTGGTCCTGGCTTACTCACAATTCGCCCTGGGCCGTCCGAGCCTGGCACAGGAGGCCAGGGAAGCATCAGGGCTGCTTTCCGGGGTTGGGGCCGCACAAGTGGGGTGGAAGAGTCAACAGCCCAGAGCACAAGGGCTTGGTGGTGTGCACTTTGACTTGTGAGGTCTACAGGTCAAGGCCCAGCACACAAACGTCCATGTGAATGTTGCAGCTAGTGCTAGCAAAAATATTGCCAGAGGTATTCGTGCAGCAACATGTACAATGGTACCTCACACGGCGTTGCTGCACGCCAGCTCGCTGTAATTGCCTGGCATACTGCTTCAAGTTGTCGCTGACCCTGGATGCCTGAGTTGATGACGGTGACCTTCAGGCGCTGACAAAGATGTCCTCCCTGAGTGTGAGCGACCACTTCTTCCAGAAGCAGGTGGAGTTCAAGGTCCGCAGAAATGCCGAACAATACAACCAGAACGAAGATAGCCATGGTACAGTCCCGACACAAAGGTAAACAATGTCGACATTAGCATTGGCTTTTGCAGTTGAACAAAAGCGAAGCAGCTGGGGAGTGCTTTGAGCTTTGGCCCAGCCCAAACCGACAAACACAGAACGGCGCAGAGCCATGGGAGCGATGCAGAGGTTGCCCCCGAACCATGTCTCAACTGCCTTCTACCAAGCCAGGCAACCCACCTTCGCTTTCTCG